TTAGTTTTGTCCTTTATATAGTGTTGCAGAGAGTTTTGGTGTAATTTAACGCATAATAATTGTGTTTCGATCTAGGTGTTGAAATGAATAGTACTTCTCAGAATGTAAAAACTAGAAGCAGATCAGACTTATCAAGGTTGAGCACATTTTCAAGTCCAGTAGTAGATGATGTGGTAAGATCTCCTCCAAGCTATTATATTCGCAAAGTTAAAACTACTTATAGAGATAGATGGTTCGACCACTTATGTGCTACAAGATTTTGTTTGACGGTTAGACATTTCCTTTCGGTTCTTTATTTGCAGATTGTACCTGAGATAACGAAAACCTCTTCATATATCAAATCGAATAGGACACCCATGAAGATGCTCATTGACCACGAAATGTCCAAAGAAGTTGAATCTAAACATAGCCCTCCTAATCTAGTCGCAAAATTGATGGGCCTTGATGCCCTTCCTCAGCCCGAACCCAAACTTGCTACAAAGAGAATCCCGTCCAAGGCCCACTCTCGAAGTCATTCGGATATACCAATGAGCGAGTGGGAGCAACAGCAGAGATTCTCTCACTACAAAGACATTCACGAGGTATGTGAGCAACCACAGAGATTTACAACCGCAAATGACAAAAAGATGGCTCTCGTTCGTCAGAAGTTTCTAGAAGCCAAACGTCTGTCCATGGATGGAAGATTACGCCAGTCCAAGCAATTCCAGGACGCATTAGAAGTTTTGAGTTCAAACAGAGACTTATTTCTCGAGTGCCTGCAGGAACCAAGTTCTGTGTTTGCTCAGCAGCTTTACAGCTTGCACTCTATTCCTATTCCCGAGACTAAGCGCATTACTGTCCTTAGACCTTCGAAAATTGCGGACGAGTTTTACTTTGCTGGAGACAGAGATGGAAAACGAGAATTGGAGGAAAAATGTATCTTTGCTTATTCGAGAAATTCTCCTCCCAAATATCACGAGAGTCCCACTCAGCCAATCCGAATAGTGGTTCTCAAACCAAGCCTGGATAAAATACTCGATAACAGTAAAGTTATCAACTCCCCACAGTCCCAATCAGCAATAATACATAGCGAAGGCTTTTTGGGTGATGTGGAGGACAATGCAAATCGGGTGTCAAGACAGGTCGCAAAGGAAATCACAAACCAAATGCGCGAGAAGCTCGGCAGCCAGCACAGGGACGAAACCGTCATTTACTCAGCTGTCGAGAGTTCGTTCGACAAATCGGAGATTGATGAGTATCCAAGTGGTGACATCAGCGAATCCGAAGCCACATCACCCGTGTCCCGGCATTCGTGGGATTACGTGAAAGAAAGGCAAAGAAGCCCGTTTTCTTCCTCCTCTTTCAGCAGGGAATCTTATTCTCTCGAGTCATCTGTCTGTAGAGAGGCTAAAAAACGCTTATCTGAACGTTGGGCCCTTATGGCATCTAATGGGAGTTTTCAGGAACTGAGGCAAATACGTAGGGGCTCGAGCACGCTGGGCGAAATGCTTGCTCTTTCTGAGTCAAAACACGAGAAAAATGAAATAGTACCAACTTTGAAAGAAAGTGTTTTCATTTCTAATGAAAAATTAAAGGATTCAAATAGTATGTTAGAGAGCGGAAGAAGGGAAGTTCAAGATGATAGTAATAATTCACTGAGGAACCTCACAAGGTCGAAATCTGTTCCTGTTTCTTCTTCTCAGTTTGGGTCTAGGCTTGAAGTTGTGGCTAAGGAGGGAGCGAAGGCTAGAAGTGGAAATTCGTCGTTTAAGGGAAAAGTTTCGAGTTTGTTTTTCTCGAGGAGTAAAAAGGGCGGTAAAGATAAGGCTATTGGACCTGGAACTGGAGATGAGTCTGGCTCGTCTTTTCTTGGGGAAATTAGCTGTGATGGAAGTGGAATTCATCTTGAGGAAGTGGAGTTATCGAGCAAAACATCTTCCTTGTGCATGATTTCACCTGAGGTAATTTCAGTAATATCCTTAAATAGTTTGAATTATCTTTTATTAACTTGATACGTATTTGGTTGGGTGGTTTAAGATGTGCAATTAACGTAGGAAGCCATTTTCGTGTTCTTCTTTCTAGATCTTTTAATGTCAGTATTGAGCATTTTGGCATCAAATAAGGTGCCGTCATTTGACTTCGTAAGGTTCTTGGATTTTAACTGCTTTAAAGATGATAATTGAACTATGTATGAAGTTTGAAGTATCTCTGTGACTTGATCCATAATAAGTAGCCACGGACAATGGTGTTAGAAATTGAGATGTGACAGAAGTGAAAATGGCAGACCATGTAGATTTGTTTTAGTTTTCAGATTTTTACAAAGGAAACTACTACTTCTGTTAATAACTGTCAAGAGGTTTAATGTGGTTTATCTCCACACTATTTTTCAATCCCTAAAGCAATTATTTTAATAACTCAAAAGGCTGAAAACTTAAATCACTGTTTGGCCTTTGCAGACTAAATTTTCTGTGTCGAAACCTGCCGCATCTGGAAACATTGGTGAAAATCAGGACCAGCCAAGCCCGATATCGGTCTTAGATCCTACCTTTGAATTAAATGAACGCACATCAAAAGTGTTCCCTCGTTATGTCGAGCCCGACCCTCATGGTACACTCCTTTCGCTAATATTTGCACTTATTTATGCGATTATTTTATTTTTCAGGTAATAATAGAAGCTGCAAATTACAAAACATTGACCAATTACCTATCGTACATGGGATAACGTATTAAATATATATACATATGATTTTTTGTAACTGTGAAAGACAATCGAATGAAAGGTTGGTGTGGGGGATGAGTTTATTTATTATTCAGTTATTTAATTCAGACATTGCAGTTTCCTTTTCAGCATTATTTTTCCATGTCGAGACATTTGATTTTGAGATGATTGCATGTTCGATTTGAGGATTATGAAATTTAGTCATTTGAGACTTATTGCAATTTTTTTTTAGTTTATTGCATGTCTCCATTCATTTTGAGAGTTAAGTGAAAAGAAAGAGAAAGAAAAAAAGAGTTACAATTTTCAGAAAAGAAAGAGTATTTTTGAGTAACGACCCAGGAAATTTTTTTTCAGAGTTTTGAAAAAGTTTAAAATTACTTATATTAGTATTTTCTTTAAATCAGAAGTAGGCGTAACAGTGTGGCTAAACCCTATAATTATTCATTTTCTATAACTTGATGAAAAATTTGATTTCGTCATTTATTTCCCGGGCCACCATTTCAGGTTACGATTTGTCATCGAGCCCACTTAGTTCAAACTTCATCGATAAGTCACCACTTATCGGCTCCATAGCTCGTACCTTATTGTGGGACGACTCAAGCTTAGACACGGCCTTGACCGCCACACAAGCACCAACAAAAGACGAGGGGCGAGAATGGTATTTATTCGCCAGAACATTGTTATCTATGACGGGCCTTGAAAGCGAGGCCCATCACGACTCGTTCTTCGCCAGGTGGCACTCGCCCGAGAGCCCATTAGATCCGTCCTTGAGAGACACGTACATCGACTTGAAAAACGATACGAACGAGGCTAGGCGGAGGCAGAAGAGGTCCATGCAGAAGCTCGTCTTTGATTGCTTGAACGTGGTACTGGTCGAGCTTGTGGGCCCAGGACAGCTGGCGGACGAGGTGTGGGCCCGCATGAACTGTTGGTTTTCGGGGGACGAAAACGGGTTCGTGGTGGAGAGGGCAGTGAGGAATGAGGTGGCGGGGAAGGGTTGGGTTGAGAATTTGAGATTTGAGAGGGACATTTTGGGAAAAGAAATTGAGGTTGTTCTGTTTGAGATGCTTTTGGAGGAGGCTGTGATTGAACTTGACAGGTAGAATGTGATGATGGGAGCTTATTATACATTCTTTAGTCTGCTTGTATTTATTTCCTTATTACTTTAGTTCTGCAAATTTGCATTCTTGTCTCCATATATTTGGGGATGAAAAATTGTTGAGGAAAAAGTGTGTGTCAGTCCACACGTATGTGTCTGTAATTCCTGTGTATATTATTTGCATTGCTTTTATTATGGGACAGGATGGAATAATATATATATTTGTTTTGATCAATAAATGCAAGTATTAGGCTTGATGACACTATTCATTGTGTTGTGCTGAATTCATATATGGTAGTGGGTTTATTTTTATTTTTAGTTTTATGTTTATACAATCATGCTTGGAGATGTGTTCTTTATATGGAATTGTTGGTTTGAAGAAATTTATTTGTTTCTAAAGGTCAAGCAAATTACATTGACAAAATAAATAGAATAAAAATAGCTCTATTATTACTAAGAAAATAGATAGATAATGCTCAATTGATCTGGTACGAAAATTATGAAGCAGGCAAAATACCACCTGGAAACAGAGAATAATACCATCACTTGGCCATGTATGTTTTCAACCAAAATTAGGAGCAAAATTGTTTTAATCCTTGTTATACAAGTAATAGTGAAAGCAAAAAACTGATTCCGGAAAGCAGAGTCCACAATTTCTGGACGATTTTATAAACCTACAGCCCTTGTTTGTTTGGAAGGATGGGATTGGACTATTTTAGTACAAGTGTGAGGGATTACACTGTTGGGATAAATTTAGTGGTGTGTTTGTTATGTGTGATAAGGTGTAGGATAGCTTTTTAGATTTTCTTTTAAAAAAAATCATTTAATTCAGTATAAATCAGCTTTAGGTTGTAATGTACTATTTTACCCTTTATATCAGGTTCAATTGTATATTTTTATTCCCAATGTTCTCACAATTTGAGGGAGCAAACGAAACGAGGACAACGGGCTTATTTCTTCTATTTCCTGTTCATAGACCCTATTTGAAGGATGCGCAGCGAAGACGGGAAGATCTCGTTACATTTTCCTTCCCCAAATCGATCACCACTGACGACCACCTTTTGTCTGCTGGTTGTTTACCGTCGTTCGGCAACAAGCTTAGAAGACGATTGTTGGGCCGGCGTCGTCTATTCCAAAGCATTCATAATGGTACAAATGACCGGCGACGGCGACGAGGTAAATTTGCCGAGTACGAGAATCAATGACCATGGATCCATATTTTATTAACTCTGCAAATCTATTTTGTGGGAATTAGGGTTTTTTGCATTCTTTTATCTGCTATGTTGGGGCCTGGCAGATAGAATTTGGCATCAATTTTAATATGATTTTTTATGGGATTGTTTTGATTGAGATGAAAAATCAAATTATATTTTTTATTGAGCATTGTGATAGTTGAAGTGGTACAAAATCGTATTGAAATTGATATATAGTACTAACAGAGATTTTATTTTTCTGTTGCATTCCAATGTGTAAGGTGATTATTGAAGGTAAGGTTGTAATTAGTGGAGTTAGGAAGGTCAAAAGAGTCCCAACTTAAAAAAATGGAGGGTAGAACCGACATTTCACTCTTTGGGATTAAATGAATCCGGCCAATTTGGTGGGATGGAGTTATCCCAATTTAGTGGGATAAAATGCTTTTTCATCCCGGGCTAACCACTTATACCGGGCCTGAATCCTACAAAACAAACGTGGGATAAGTGTAGGATAAGCTAGGATATCCTGGGCTATCCCACAAAACAAACATGCACTTATAAATCAGGGATCTTATTCTTATGTCAGTTATGTGTCCTGTGGAAACAGCTAAAATGACATTGACATTATGAGAGGGGATCACATGGAAATGAAATTGTTGACCTTTTCTATTCGCTATTGCTAACTCCACAAGCATACCGTGTTCATGCAATAAATTCTTGACCAACCAAAACAATAAATTATTGGTATCCAATATATTTAATCAAGTCTTGGACATATTTTTTTCATGTGTTTCAATGGCTCATGGGCCTTCTTTTAAAAATTTGATAATGCTGGAGGAATTATATGCAAATTACAAAAGTTAACTATTTTTCAATTGAGTGCATGGGTTCAATTTGTAATTTATTAAACTTTAATAAATGCATCATATTAAGGAGTAAATTGCACATTATGGATTTTTTCATATGCACATTATGATACTATTATCGTTTTATATGAAACTATTAAAATTTTAGTAATTTCACAATACTGATAAATAAATTGTACAATAGTGTGTGTACACAAGCACTTTAAATAGTTTGAATTATCTTTTATTAACTTGATACGTATTTGGTTGGGTGGTTTAAGATGTGCAATTAACGTAGGAAGCCATTTTCGTGTTCTTCTTTCTAGATCTTTTAATGTCAGTATTGAGCATTTTGGCATCAAATAAGGTGCCGTCATTTGACTTCGTAAGGTTCTTGGATTTTAACTGCTTTAAAGATGATAATTGAACTATGTATGAAGTTTGAAGTATCTCTGTGACTTGATCCATAATAAGTAGCCACGGACAATGGTGTTAGAAATTGAGATGTGACAGAAGTGAAAATGGCAGACCATGTAGATTTGTTTTAGTTTTCAGATTTTTACAAAGGAAACTACTACTTCTGTTAATAACTGCCAAGAGGTTTAATGTGGTTTATCTCCACACTATTTTTCAATCCCTAAAGCAATTATTTTAATAACTCAAAAGGCTGAAAACTTAAATCACTGTTTGGCCTTTGCAGACTAAATTTTCTGTGTCGAAACCTGCCGCATCTGGAAACATTGGTGAAAATCAGGACCAGCCAAGCCCGATATCGGTCTTAGATCCTACCTTTGAATTAAATGAACGCACATCAAAAGTGTTCCCTCGTTATGTCGAGCCCGACCCTCATGGTACACTCCTTTCGCTAATATTTGCACTTATTTATGCGATTATTTTATTTTTCAGGTAATAATAGAAGCTGCAAATTACAAAACATTGACCAATTACCTATCGTACATGGGATAACGTATTAAATATATATACATATGATTTTTTGTAACTGTGAAAGACAATCGAATGAAAGGTTGGTGTGGGGGATGAGTTTATTTATTATTCAGTTATTTAATTCAGACATTGCAGTTTCCTTTTCAGCATTATTTTTCCATGTCGAGACATTGGATTTTGAGATGATTTCATGTTCGATTTGAGGATTATGAAATTTAGTCATTTGAGACTTATTGCAATTTTTTTTTTAGTTTATTGCATGTCTCCATTCATTTTGAGAGTTAAGTGAAAAGAAAGAGAAAGAAAAAAAGAGTTACAATTTTCAGAAAAGAAAGAGTATTTTTGAGTAACGACCCAGGAAATTTTTTTTCAGAGTTTTGAAAAAGGTTAAAATTACTTGAAAATATTAGTATTTTCTTTAAATCAGAAGTAGGCGTTACAGTGTGGCTAAACCCTATAATTATTCATTTTCTATAACTTGATGAAAAATTTGATTTCGTCATTTATTTCCCGGGCCACCATTTCAGGTTACGATTTGTCATCGAGCCCACTTAGTTCAAACTTCATCGATAAGTCACCACTTATCGGCTCCATAGCTCGTACCTTATTGTGGGACGACTCAAGCTTAGACACGGCCTTGACCGCCACACAAGCACCAACAAAAGACGAGGGGCAAGAATGGTATTTATTCGCCAGAACATTGTTATCTATGACGGGCCTTGAAAGCGAGGCCCATCACGACTCGTTCTTCGCCAGGTGGCACTCGCCCGAGAGCCCATTAGATCCGTCCTTGAGAGACACGTACATCGACTTGAAAAACGATACGAACGAGGCTAGGCGGAGGCAGAAGAGGTCCATGCAGAAGCTCGTCTTTGATTGCTTGAACGTGGTACTGGTCGAGCTTGTGGGCCCAGGACAGCTGGCGGACGAGGTGTGGGCCCGCATGAACTGTTGGTTTTCGGGGGACGAAAACGGGTTCGTGGTGGAGAGGGCGGTGAGGAATGAGGTGGCGGGGAAGGGTTGGGTTGAGAATTTGAGATTTGAGAGGGACATTTTGGGAAAAGAAATTGAGGGTGTTCTGTTTGAGATGCTTTTGGAGGAGGCTGTGATTGAACTTGACAGGTAGAATGTGATGATGGGAGCTTATTATACATTCTTTAGTCTGCTTGTATTTATTTCCTTATTACTTTAGTTCTGCAAATTTGCATTCTTGTCTCCATATATTTGGGGATGAAAAATTGTTGAGGAAAAAGTGTGTGTCAGTCCACACGTATGTGTCTGTAATTCCTGTGTATATTATTTGCATTGCTTTTATTATGGGACAGGATGGAATAATATATATATTTGTTTTGATCAATAAATGCAAGTATTAGGCTTGATGACACTATTCATTGTGTTGTGCTGAATTCATATATGGTAGTGGGTTTATTTTTATTTTTAGTTTTATGTTTATACAATCATGCTTGGAGATGTGTTCTTTATATGGAATTGTTGGTTTGAAGAAATTTATTTGTTTCTAAAGGTCAAGCAAATTACATTGACAAAATAAATAGAATAAAAATAGCTCTATTATTACTAAGAAAATAGATAGATAATGCTCAATTGATCTGGTACGAAAATTATGAAGCAGGCAAAATACCACCTGGAAACAGAGAATAATTCCATCACTTGGCCATGTATGTTTTCAACCAAAATTAGGAGTAAAATTGTTTTAATCCTTGTTATACAAGTAATAGTGAAAGCAAAAAACTGATTCCGGAAAGCAGAATCCACAATTTCTGGACGATTATATAAACCTACATTTTATAAATCAGGGATCTTATTCTTATGTGTCCTGTGGAAACAGCTAAAATGACATTGACATTATGAGAGGGGATCACATGGAAATGAAATTGTTGACCTTTTCTATTCGCTATTGCTAACTCCACAAGCATACCGTGTTCATGCAATAAATTCTTGACCAACCAAAACAATAAATTATTGGTATCCAATATATTTAATCAAGTCTTGGACATATTTTTTTCATGTGTTTCAATGGCTCATGGGCCTTCTTTTAAAAATTTGATAATGCTGGAGGACTTATATGCAAATTACAAAAGTTAACTATTTTTCAATTGACTGCATGGGTTCAATTTGTAATTTATTAAACTTTAATAAATGCGTCATATTAAGGAGTAAATTGCACATTATGGATTTTTTCATATGCACATTATGATACTATTATCGTATTATATGAAACTATTAAAATTTTAGTAATTTCACAATACTGATAAATAAATTGTGCAATAGTGTGTGTACACAAGCACTTTAAAAGTTCGTTTAACATATTCTTATATATCTGGATCGATTTGGTTATTTTAATAAATACATCCGACATCAAATTGAAATATCCAAAATTTCATGGAATTATAACTATTTTGAAATACATTGTTAAACTTATGAAAATGATAAAATAATCATATACAAAAGAAAGCATAAGATAATAATATATTATATGCATATAACTTTGTGAAAAATAAATATTTGTAATATTAAATATGAGAATTTCGTGAAACTTTAACTATGTTATTGTCATATATTATTAAATTATTACATATATTAAAATAATTATGTACAAAAGAAAGCACGAGATAAAATATTATACTCATATAAACTTTTGAATAAGAAGAGTAGTATTAGTAAATATGAGATTTTCATGAAATTTTAACTATATTATTGGCATACGCTGTTGAATTTATACAAATGCTAAAATAGTTATGTATAAAAAATAGTATATGAAAAAACTAAGTGTTATTAAATATGAGATTTCTATGAAACTTTACATATATAGTTAAAATTTTAACATATATTGAAATAATTATTTACAAACGAAAAGATAACATATAATATTTTAAACACATAATTTTGACTAAGAAGAGTAATATTACTAAATATGAGATTTCCATGAAATGTTAACTATATTATTGGCATCCACGACTGAATTTATACAAACATTAAAATAGTTATATACAAAAAATGCATAAGATAAAATGAAATGGTTCTTTGTTTAGGTATTTCGGTTCCTTTCCGATTACTTTTGGTTTGGTCTTGTACTATAAATTGGCAATTGTTCGACAACTTAATAAATCTTGATGATTTTCTTGCGGTTTTGCTATGAAGCCAACAGTTGGCTCCATAGTGAAGTCAACCTTCTATATACAATAAATAAACCTATTATATTAATAAAATTATATTAGTGTTATTTAAGTAATAAAAGAATATGATAAGTTTACTTGTTGTATATAAAAGGTTGGCTCCACTATAGAGTCAACTGTTGACTTCATAGCAAAACTGGATTTTCTTACTAGACAATCTCTTACATTTATTTAAAGTTCCTTATATACTAGATACTAGATTTATTTATTACTGTACGTACTAGATAGTAGTATCCATTAGAATATTAATCATATTCTCTTACCTTATTTGATAGATATGTTGCCATAATATGTTTTCTATTTCTTGTAGAAAAAGGATACATTGTGTAAGTATAAATAGACAGAGTAGATCGTGATTATAAAGGAGATTGAGAACAAGAATTGAAGATATGAAGATCTTGGACAAGATGTGAAGAATTCAAGTAAACTAGGAAAGAATGTTCCTTTGAAATTAATGAATAAATATTTGGAAGATGTTAACTTGAAGAAGTTGAATCGATTTGGAAGAAAGTTTACTCCAAATGGAGGAACGATGAAGACATGGCAATTCATAGGCTCCTTACCATCTTGGAGTTTGTATATATGTATGCATGAAGACTAACAGACATGGTTGTTGCAATTAAGTTTAGTATTGAGTTTCATGTTCAAAAGTGTTTACGAGAGTTCATGAGTTTTGGTTTGCATTTTTCTTAGTTTAGTTTTCCAACAATTCACTTTTGTGTTCTTACATCACTGAATAGTTGTTTTTGTTTGTTACTCGTAAACTCTTTGGGTACTTAGAGATTAAGTACTTTATCAGCTAGAAGGGATCCGTTTTTAGCTGTTTGTGAAGTTCACGTCGGGGCCAGAAAAGGAGTTAGTAGTTTTGGGTATAGTGTTAGGATTATGAGGGAATCCTATTCCTGTAATTACAAACTATGCATCGTGCGCGTGATCAATTTACTAATGAAAGAGCTTTGAGAAGTAGTGGAGTCTTTTTTTCTTTTACAAACTTATTTCCATTTGAATTAGAATCATGTTTAATTAACGCTTATGTGTTTTGTTTTTTACATTTAGATAGATATGATTCATTATGGATGAACATAAGATTATATTATCAGATACTTGTAAAACATAAATATTAGTTCACAACCTAGATAGAATTGAACAAATTATCGCAAATGGTTGTAGTGCAATTTGGAATCTCTTGGTCTTAACTGATGAATTACACTAATACACTAAGAGTGTATTGATTGGAACTAAAGAGGATAAGTTTATTTTATACCGACCAAGTAAATAAACTAGACCTCGATAATTATTGCATAAGTGTACTGAATGGAACTAAAGTGTATTGAGTTCAAGAACGTTTATTATGTCAAGCCCTGCAGGCGAATTTAATTTCGACATAATAATTAAGAATTGAGTGGTACTGGTGTAGACTATTATTAGCAGCATAGGTATCTTAGAGAATAAGTTAGGAATTAAACATTATTATAAGAGATTTTGTCTTGTTGGACAAGTTAGGAATAGGGTTTAGAAGTCTTATTTAAAGGGCTCCTAATCTATTGTTTTAGTCGGTTGATTATTGAATGAAAATAAGATTGTGAGTGTTATCGAGAGAGTATCTCGTTTATCCTTTCCCACTCGTACGCTTTCCTACATCATGTACTAGTTTCGCCTTGAGCAACGAGCTCAGGTGTTTGAGTATGCCACCCCGAGCAACGATCTCAATTGTCTGAGTATTCCACCTCGAGAACCGAGATATAGTGTTGGACAAACAAAGTCAAATGACAGAACCTCGAGCGGACGAGCTATAGGGCCATAAGTTCGGTAGAACCTCAGGCGGACAAGCTTAACGACCATAAGTGTAAAGTTGATAGAACCTCGAGCGGACGAGCTCGAGGGCCATAAGTTCTTCGCAGGAGAACCCCGAGTAAGTAGCTCAGGGGGCTATAAGTTTTTTTGTAGGAAGAACCCGAAACAGGAAGCTCGGGCACCGTAAGTTTTTTGTGACAGAACCTCAAGCGGGTAGCTCGGGTGCCAAATGCTTTAAAGTAGCAGAACCTCTTGTCTTGGGGAGTAAGCCATTTTCTCTTAAAGATATATGGTATTCGTTAAATACTTATAAAAATTTAGGAAATATTCTTAAAAAATATTCAATTGAGTTTGTGTATATATACACAATTATTCTAAAGGACTAGACTCCTTGGTTATTAAGAAACCTCTTGTCTTGGGGAATAAGTCATTGAACCCTTTATAAATAAGGGATCCGAGTTTAACTTATAATCCAAGCACTCAATAAATCTCTTAATTACAATTCTCATGGTTTTTAGGAAAAAATAAGTATTTTAATGTTGACTTGAACATTAATGATTACATTTAACTATACAAAAAAAAAACAAAAAATANTAATAATAATAATAATAATAATAATAATAATAATAATAATAATATGTTGAGATTTATTTTGTTAATAAAAAAAAAATATGGGGACCTAATTTAAAGATAAATACATGCGATACACGGTGGGCTTTTTTGTGTTTTTCTTAAGTATTTTATTTATATTTCTTATATTTAGTTAGCTCATCTTTATACTTGTTAACTTTAGTCATTCTTGTATTAGTTTATTTGTAGAATAGTAATAATGAATTTTATTTTTTAAAAAAATGATAAAAAGTTGTCACGTAGACATTTTATGAAAATTTTTTGACGAGGTATGTCATTAATATGTGACTAAAAAATTCCATCGTATACCAAAAATATTTTTGTAAGCTTAATGCATGAATTTAGTTTTAACTTTTTTAGAAAAAAACTATGTATTGTATTCTTTAGTCATAGACAATCATATGTTGTTATTTTTTCTAGAGTCACAAATTTTTGTTGTCTAATCTCCTTGTATATAGTTCATGAATGTGCCTAAGTGGTAGACTCACACATTTCGAAATTCATGCGTTGTCATTTGTCTTTGATAAATTTTAATTTACTTCCAATCTAAAAAATAACTAGGCCTAGAATAACCATAAATACACTCGATAATTATTATCCATTTTTGGAGTATTAATTATATTTTAATATCATTTCTTATTCCAAAAGTGGTTTATATGTCATAATGTTTTCCCCAATCTTTCTATTTTCCTTATTCATTCTTTTAGAATTATAAAACATTACCAACCTAAATTTTATATACATTTTAAAGTTAATAATTTATTAATTTATTATATTATTTATATATAATATATGAAATTAATCATCTCTTGATGTGCTTCAATTTGACATCTAAATTATACATACAAAATAAATAAATAATTATATTTACCTTTATAAAAAAAATGTTTATCTTCTAATATTATTTGGAAAAAACAAAATTACTTAAACTAGTTTAACTAAAATGTAGTTATATGATATAAGTTTTATTATAATATAAGAGTAATAAGTCGTGTAAGGGACGAGCATTATTTTAAATATAAATAATAACTTAGTTTAGTATTTTAAAGTCAAATAAATTTTTTATTTTTTTTAAAAAATTCTAAGTGTTATTTATTTTTAAAAAAAAATCACTCATATAATGCACGTGTATTGTACTAGTGAGAATTATTAGTGGTGGTGATGGTCATATTGAACACAATTTATATACTACTAATGCTATATTTATGGAAGTATTTTTAAATATACTAATAAAAATTTTATTCTACTTATTATCATCTCTATACGTGATTTTTTTTATTAATATTATAATTCATCCACATTTTTTTTTTAACACACGGGTGGCTGGCGTGCTAGTTTCTTTAAAAGCATAAGAACTAATATCTTTTCATAATATTATATTTTTGGAATTGTNNATGTTTATTATGTAGAAAGCATCAATCAAATTAAATATATATGAAATTTAGCAACCAAATAGATATTAATTATTTATAGCTATATGTCCCGTGGAACTTTGTAGAAAATTAGTTAAATAAAATTGGGTTTGACTCGGTCTTGACTTATTTTCTTATAGTTACATATTTAATTTGGTTGAGTTAGAAAAATTTAACGTTTCGAGTAGATACTCATGGTTTATTTCTTGTCTCAAAATTGGTTTTCAGTGACTGAGAAATAAATAATTAAAGTTAGTCACTAATGGACACATAAAACATTGGTTGTGAAATTCGAAGGGTCAATAGTCCTATACAACACTAAAAATTTTAAATGAAAATAACTTTTATTACTATAACAAAGAGAGCTAGAGAGGTCACAGCAGCAACAAAGCTGTGCACCAAGTGTTAATATTATTCTAATACAAAATTAAGATTTCACTCAAACTTAATCCAACCCACTTTTTCCAATTAACAAAAAAAAAAATCCAATAAAAAGTCAATCAAATTTAATGAGATATTTACTCACTGTCATAACTAGCCAAAGTTTGAGACATGCCATTTATTAGGGAGTTCACCAAACCATGATTATTCATCCATTCAAGAAAAAAATCCATTATAAAAACCAAAGCACCCAAGCAATTATACCTACTTAATCACCAAATGTCTCCACCAACAGCTATTGTGGCCGTCTACGCAGCCATTGCAGCCGTGGCTGTGGTGGTGCCAGTGGCGGATGGGGCCCGCGCCTTCTTTGTGTTCGGCGACTCATTGGTGGACAATGGCAATAACAACTACTTAGCCACCACCGCTAGGGCTGACTCACCACCCTACGGCGTTGACTATCCCACTCACCGCCCCACTGGCCGCTTTTCCAATGGATATAATATTCCTGATCTCATAAGTATATATGTTCCTTCCATTTTAGTCAATTTTTACCCTTCCTAATTCTACTAATGTTATTATGATATACGCTTTAACATAATGCATTACATGCCACAAATTGTTTTTTATTTTTCACATTACATCATTATCTTCAAATTAATTTTTCTATAATCACTAAATTTATATGTCGACGTTTATTATGTTGAAATTGCACTTTTCATAATCTAGCGTATTTTGGTCACTTGATTTTAATTAGCTCTCTCAAATTTTGGTTAGCCATGACAGTGTAAAACGTCCAAGTAATGAAAATTATGTAGCCACGGTCGAACTTTAGGGAACCACAATTATTATATGCTTGAAATGGTACAGCTAGCTAGTGGTACTGTGTAGGACTCAATTATGCCGCCTTCCGTATATTTAATTAAATGTTTATAGGACCCGCCAAAAATAACTATGATCTATATTTGCATGCATCCAAAATTAAGGAGGTGATTGGATATTAATTCAACTAGTAAAAAAATTGGTTATTTTTTAACTATAGTTAAGTTTGAAAAAAGGTGGTATGGTTAGTTGTTAGTGGATTATATTAAATAATATTTTAAATAAAATAATTAAAGTTGATGTGATGTAAAAGTAGGAGAAAATGATTGGAAGTGATAGTTAGTTAAAATTATGTGAGTAGATGAATAGTGAATTAGAGTTGATGTAATTTATAAGAATGATTGGTTGATATTATTTTATTATATTAATAATATTGGAGATAGTGGAGTTGAGTTAAAGTTTAGTTAAATTTGAGTTTTGATTGATTTTTTTACTGTACAAATTGTATACAATTGCCCCCTAAATATTTATGCAAAATATTAATTGGTAGTTCAGTTTGTTAATTCCCTATTGTTATTATTTTTTCAAAAATGCTACAAGTACATAATAAATGTACATAACACTCACATTAATTTAAATGTACATAACACTCACACGGAGTGATGTCTACTTAATTTTTTATTTTTGGTAGGACCCACTCAATGTCAGTGTTATGTATACCTCGATGTAAAATATTATGTACCTATAACATTACTCTTATTTTTTTATCCTTTGAACCTCTTTCTCTATGAATTAAACTAAAAACAAATGTGATGATGTTAGGTCAGGCACTTGGTGCAGAATCAACATTGCCGTACTTGAACCCTGACCTTCAAGGGGAGAAACTTCTGGTTGGAGCAAATTTTGCATCTGCAGGAATTGGAATTCTTAGTGACACCGGCATTCAATTTGTAATGCCACTACTTTCGATATCTTTATGTTAATATGATACTACAATTTTAAATATAGTTATGTAACTAACAACTTTGACTAATTTGAAACTAATTTTGGCAAACAATCGCACATCATGCTCACGTATTCCATTAAATTTGTAAATATACTTTAAATTTTTGGATAAAATTATCTCCAAATTAATTGTTTTATAGTAATGGAAATATTATTAATTATTTGTACTACATAAAAATATATTTCATACACTTCTAAATTTTTTTTTTTTAAAAAAAAAACATATTTCAAAATTTCCCTGTCAATCTGCGTGAACCTTGACAAGTATGGGTATCTAACTCAATGTTTTGCATGCCATCCGGTGGTCCACTTTATTGACTAATTGTGCCTGAATTAATTTATTAAAAAAGGCATCCGTGGGTGGACCTAAGAGCAGCAGAGCCAGAGGAAAAATGAAAATAACCCATAATTAATTAATGTATTAAATATTAATGCGCGAATCACAAAAATAATGTTGGCAGGCAAACATAATACCAATCGACAGGCAGTTGGAATATTTCGAACAGTACCAAAGCCGAGTTAGTGCAATAATTGGCGATGAGCTGGCAGTATCGCTCGTAAACGGGGCTCTTGTGCTCATCACTTTGGGAGGAAATGACTATGTCAACAATTACTTCTTGACACCTGTCACTTTAAGAAGACTTCAATACAATCTTCAAGATTATTCCTACCTCCTCATCTCAGAGTACCGCAAAATTTTACAGGTATTTATTTCTATTTCCCCCATTCACTAATTCATTTAAATTAGGTGCGTAATTTGTATTAAAAGTTGATTAATGATAATGATGATTTGATTACAGAGGCTATATGAGTTGGGAGCCCGGCGTGTCCTAGTCACCGGCACGGGCCCACTCGGTTGCGTGCCTGCTGAGCTGGCAACGAGGAGCACGAATGGAGAATGCGCAGAGGAGCCTCAGATGGCGGCTGCCATATTCAACCCGTTGCTCGTTCAAATGATTGCAGGGCTTAACCAAGAAATCGGGTCCAACGTTTTTGTGACGGCTAATACAATGCAAATGCAGAATGATTTCATCAACGACCCTCAGGCCTTCGGTACTCCACAATCAATAATTTAGTTTTATTATACAGAGAAAAAATGAGATTAAAAAAAAAATGATTTGAATTGATATATAAAATAAAAATATAATGAGGATACTTGATGTAAAATAAAATTAATAAAATATTAATAGATAGGGATTTATATTTAGAACCGAATATTATTTATTTTTAAAGTATATGGTGATTATTTTATTTTTTATTTTTCCGTTGTATTAGGATAAAGGTAGAAAAAAATAAAATAAAATAAATAGTATATTTATGATTTATTTTTGTTTTATTCCTATTTTTAATGAAATAAATTCTTGATTCTTAATAATTATGGAATTAAGTTTTATCAGGTTTTGTCACCTCAAAGGTGGCGTGTTGTGGTCAAGGGCCATTCAATGGGTTGGGGCTTTGCACTGTTCTCTCTAATTTGTGCCCAAATAGGGATTTATATGCCTTTTGGGACCCCTTCCATCCAACTGAGAAGGCCAACAGGATTATTGTTGACACAATTTTGACTGGTTCAGATAAGTATATGTCTCCAATGAACCTCACCACCCTCATGGCTTTGGGTTCCAAGGAATATTAACTTCTATTAATTTTTCGGTCGTAAGATTATAATCTTAAAGATTCTATGCCATCCTTGTTTTTATATCATTATTAGGTTCTTTATTTCCTTGTTAATTTTGTCCGATAATTGTGTATTCATAATTTTTAGACTTTGGACTGCCAAAAGCAATGAACCAACCCAATGGAAAAAAAAAATGTTGATTTGATTGGTGTATTAATATGTAATAAATGTGAGAAGATGTAAATTTTCTTTGGTGTAATAATTATTATGTAAATTTTTTACTAACATGTAAATAATATATACTTCACACTAGTGGGCCATCAGCTGTGCACGCATAGCCAGCTCGAGTTTATCCTATAATTATGAAATAGTAATTTGTAAACAATATATACTTCACACTAGTGGGCCATCGGCTGTGCACGCATAGCCAGCTCGAGTTTAGCCTATAATTATGAAATAGTAATTATTTTTTTATCGGCCCTAAAAGATTGTTGCTTAAAATGTGAAGTGTTTCACAACATGATAAAATATCCAACAATCACAAAAAATGTAAAAAGAAAGTTTCTGGTTCACCATAAAATCTTAGAAGTTGCAGGATACTTCTTCCAGATACTTATTGTGAATACTAACTATCTAAGTACAAAACATTAGAATAGCCCTTGGCTTGGGTATTACGGCACTCTGCTTGTAGAACCTATAGATTGCCGACCAGAAGATACAATCGTTCGTCAGCATAAATAACATTCAGATCACAATAGTTGAATGCAAAGGGTTATTCACAGAAGGACTGTATCCCAAAGCTGCAGACATCAGTAAGCAAAAAGAAATCCAATGGTTAAACAAGGAAGATTGCTATTAACATGAATAGCCAATCAACAAATATGTTTTTCATTTAGCATGTTCGAATGAAAAAAAAATAAAATAAAAAAAATAGAGAAATACACAAAACTGTTGAAGATAAACAAAAATGGTCTGAGTGAAAAAAACATAATAATAATAACAAATATAAACATGTCACACTGCAAGGAAGTTCTGGCACTTGCTATAGAAAAATATCAAATGAGCTTCAAGGAAGTTCGTGTTTACCTTGATATTGATGGGTAAATAATGCCTTGGAGTATTTCTTCCTCAGTCATGTCCGTGGCTAGGCTGTAGTTACAAAGAATTATGTGACTAGTTAAAACCCATCGATATAGTAGCCTGATTCCAAGTGGCTCCATAATTTGATGATATTGAAATAAATATTGTATCTATTCTTAGAAATAGTCAAAAACATTTTGTTCTTATTTTGAAAGAAATTCCCCAAAAATCCGTAGCACTCGGATTAAATTAGAATCAACAGAAGTCATACGGATACATTTGTTTGTTGCGTGAATTCCAGCTCCTGTATTAATATTTAACTCATGGTGTGTTTATGGATCATACTTTTTCCAACAGTTCAGAAGCTGGTGTGTACAATTTTCAGAATCCAACGCAATATTTATTCCTAAACTATAAATGATAAAACATGTACCATTTAGCTGCTGCCTGTAGCATCCCACAAGTGATCTTAGATCCAAATAGAAGTGTCCCAATCTCAATCATGAATTTTAAGGCAGAATTTATCAAATAAAAGTCCCAATGCTAGTCAGATCATTTTGTAGAGGACATGGCTCGTCGTCTAGCTGGTCGTCAATCGCCGGGTAACTCACCGGCATCTGGCGTCTGACCCGCTGTCGCTGTAGAACGATGCCCTCCGTATAACGCTTGATCTGTTTCCTCTCCGACACCATCAAAATCATGTTCTAGAAAATTAGGGAGAAGAAAAAATTAAATTAGAGATGAAGGGAAAGAAAAAATGAAAATGGAAAACAAAATTGACAAATAGCTAATATATGGGATTTCATGAGGAAAGCCAATAGGTCTCGTAGTCCATAACCGTGATAACAGTCCCAATTAATCATGACTTTTCATTATTTTTGAAAAAAAAAATGGCATGTATATATATACACATCCAACATGCAACACTAAGAAGAGAAACCTTAATCAGAATGGTGTCTCCTCGGAGAATCTAGAGTTTTTCCATGGTGTTCAGATTGAGAGAGACGACGGAGTTGTCATCATTGACCGCCTCATCTACAATTGGCCGATTAGCCGCCTTCTTCCTCTCTAAAATCGCGGTCTACAAGTCTTTCCCACTTTTCAAGTTCAGAGCAAGAAAAGGATTCAGATTACTGGAGCCGGTCACTTGAACCAAATAACAAAGACAAAAAAGAGATTGAGCGAGAAAAGGAAATGGAGAAAAACGGAATTGCAATCCATCTACGGTGAAATGACTGAGATATTAGAAAGGGAAATCTTACAAATCAGCCAACTCAGGATAAATCATATCTGCCCTGGTGAGTACCGCCTTGCTCTTCCATCTTCCTCATTGGATCTTTTTTTGTAATCTGAATTCTTGAGCCTCCGACTAACTCAAACTGCAACCTCAAGGCAGGGCAGGGCAGAGCAGACACAACATCTCACATACATTATCTCACATGCTGGGAATGTCTTGCAGGAAATTACACGTTTTTTCGTCTCCTACAAACAAAATTAATTAAAATGATCAAAATTATATAATGCCCATTTTTCATTAACGAAACTTAATATTACTCACTGATAACACCTCATAACTATGGCATTTTACTTCATGTTTCACACAACATAGATAAATAAGGAACACCACATAATAAAAATAGAGCTAAAATTATAATGTAATGAGCATAAGATAAAACATGCAAAGAAGCTGAAGAACAAGCCTTGAGCAAGAAAACAAAAAATTTCAGGTTTATTATAAAAAAGGGAACAGAAAAGGCATGATATTTTCAGCTCAAGCATCACAAACAAATGGGAAACCAGACAAATTTACTCNAAGGTAAAAAAAAAAAAAACATTCGACATATCATCTAAAGAACATAAATGGGACCTGAAAACATGAAAAAATGCAAAAATTACAAAACTTTTTAGCACAAAGCGGATCTAGGGGGCTGAATAACGAACTGCACACAATCCCACTCACGATTTTCACAAAGACTTTACAACCCACCTCCGAATTTCCAAATATTGAACAAAAAATCCTACGAACGGTGAAAAAAGAAGGAAAAAAAAAGGTCTAACCACAATTTGGAGAGTCGGACTGAAATTGAACTGGGAAAGGGGGACAGACTGAAAGTGGAGAAGAGCGAGAGGAAGAGAATGGTTACGTGATTGCCAGACTCTTTTTGTACTGTGGCGCGACACCGCCCTACAAGGTGTCGATCGACCCCAGGGGCGAGCGCGTCGACGTCAACATCGAGGAGGCACTCAGCGATGGTGGGCGCGGGTCGAGGAGGTAGATGTGAGGCTGGCCATCAAGTCTTACCGGTTCTCGGAGATCCTATCGCAGGAGGCGAAGACGGAGGCGCCGATCGAGAGAGTGTGCACTGCTGGGGAGTGAACATTATCTTAAGCTCTTATTTCTACCGAGTTTACTCTACTCTACTTATCTCTAGTCTTATCTCTATATTTTACTCTACATTAAATATATTATTTTTTAATTATTTTTTATTTCAAATAAATTAGTATATATGTATATTTAATCTTATATAAAATATTAATTACTCAAATAATAAAAATATATTTTATTTATTTTTATTTCAAATAATTTGCTATATATATGAATATGTAATATTATATTAATGTTTATTACCCAAATTATAATAAAAAAAATTATGTATAACAATACGAGACTGCTTTATAAGTTCAAACAAAAGGATACAAATTGCATAATACAATGAAAAAAAATAAAAAAAATTACAAACAACGATTACAATAACATTACAACTAATTTTTTGAATTAAAAAATTCCTCCCATAAATGCTCAATCAATGCATTAAAAAATTCCTCCCATATCTTGTAAGTCATTTTTACTCCAAAATTATGCAGGATTAGCCACAATAGCAAATCGACTTTGGAGTACTCCAAATGCACGCCTTTCTGCATGCTTCTTGTTTCATTGCAAAATATATTTTTTTTTTTACTCCATGGGTCACGAATAGTTTGGACAAGAGTTGCCCATTTGGGATATATATTATCTGCAAAATAATATCCCATGTTGTACTCTTTACCTTGAATGACATAATGTGCGGGAGGGGAATTCCTCGAGTAAGGTCAGAAAATAAATGAGACCTCTCTAACACATTAATATCATTGTTGGATCCAGGCATACCAAAGTATGCATGCCATATCCGAAGATCATAATCAGCTATAATTTCTAGAATATTAGTTGGAGATTTACTACGTCCTGTATATGCACCTGCCCAAGCTGTTGGACAATTTTTCCAACGCCAATGCATATAATCCAGACTACCTAATATTCCTGGAAAGCTACGTTGCTTACCGATATAAAGGAGTCTTGCAATGTCATTGGCGTTGGGAGAACGTAGATATTGCGCTCCGAATATCTCTACAACAGCACGACAAAATTACTTCACGCATTCAATTGCGATGGACTCTCCAATATTTATGTATTCATCTGTCGCATCTGCTGGTACAGTGTATGCTATTATCCGAAGCGCAGCAGTTAACTTTTGATAGGTAGACAATCCGAGTCTACCGACTGCATCTCTTTCCTGCAAAAAATAATCATCGTGACTTTCAACTGCATTTGCTATACGAAAAAATAAATTTCTAGACATCTGAAAACGTCTACGAAACATGGCTTCATTAAATTTTGGGTTTTCAGAAAAATAATCGTTAAAAAGACGATTTGCAGCTGCTTCTCGATCGCGAAATATTGTTTTCGACCAGGAACTGAACCTCCATGGCTTTGACTGCCTTGTTGAGTTCTAAGAAATTCTTGTACAAGAATATTATTGTTGTAAATCTGTTGTCCTATCAGACGTTGCTCTGTATCATAACTATCTAGTAGCTGTTCAAGTTCATCATCAGATGAACTTGAAGAAGAAAATGCATAAGAAGTACCAATGTGATTGGGATTCATATTTTTTTGAAAAATGCAAGAGTTTACGAATGAATAATTTCTGTGAAGATCTATGTATAAATAGTGATATAGAAATCTTCAACTCTTAATCTGAGCCGTTTAATCTTGATTTTCATAGATAAGAATCCTACGGTTGAGATGTGGATAAGAAAATCTACACCTTTTAATCTTAGCCATTAAATCTTTAGATAAGAATCCTACGGTTGAGATGTGGATAAGAAAATCTATACCTTTTAATCTTAGTCATTAAATCTTTAGATAAGAATCCTACGGTTGAGATGTGGATAAGAAAATTTGCACCTTTTAATCTTAGCAATTAAATCTTTAGATAGGAATCCTACGGTTGAGATGTGGATAAGAAAATCTACAACTTTTAATCTTAGCCATTAAATCTTTATATAAGAATCCTACGGTTGAGATGTGGATAAGAAAATCTACACCTTTTAATCTTAGCCGTTAAATCTTTAGATAAGAATCCTACGGTTGATATGTGGATAAGGAAATCTACACCTTTTAATCTTAGCCGTTAAATCTTTAGATAAGAATCCTACGGTTGAGATGTGGATAAAAAAATCTACACATTTTAATCTTAGCCATTAAATCTTTAGATAAGAATCCTACGGTTGAGATGTGGATAAGAAAATCTATACCTTTTAATCTTGGCGATTAAATCTTTGATAAGAATCCTACGGTTAAGATGTAGATAAGAAAATATGCACCTTTAAATCTTAGCCGTTAAATCATTAGATAAGAATCCTACGGTTGATATGTGGATAAGAAAATCCACAACTTTAAATCTTAGCCGTTAACTCATATTTCCTATTACAAATGTCAACCGCACGATTCTTATCAATGGAAATGAAATATACTATAAATATGCTACATGGTAAGGCAAAATTTTGTACCACCAAAATATGACTTCATCATTTTCTAATTTACGTTTTAAATTCATTATCTTGTAGTAATTTCTCCCATGGGTTCCAACTATACTGTGAATGAAGATCAACACCTATGTCGGTCTTATATGGAAATTTCTCAAGATCCAGAGGTGGGCATATATCAAAGTAGAGATCAATTCTGGCTCCGGGTGATGAACGAGTATAATTCTACAAAACCCAATCCAAGCTGGCCTGATCGTCCACAAAGATCGATCCAATGTTGTATGGGAACTATCAATACTGCTATTAAACTTTTCAAATCTTGTGTGGAGCAAATTGAAAATGCAAACTTCAGTGGAGCTTCTGAACATGATGTGGAAAGAGATTTTACAAGCATTATTTATTTATATTTAAAATAAACTTTTATATTTTCTAATATTATTTATTTTCACATTGTAGATGGAGCGTGCGAATATACTTTATTCGCAAAACCCAAAAAATAAAAGTAATCAACCATTCAAGTACGAGCATGTGTGGAATATTATGAAAGAATTTACATTGTTTGAGTGCAAATCAACCAGGCGAAATACTTTTTCATCTCAACCGCAATCAGATGCACAACCCGAGTCTCCCATTTTACCTAATCCAGAACTATCTAATTTTTCTATTAATTTAACCGATGAAAATGCTAGTGGTGGGTCATCATCACAACGGCCATTAGGTATTAAAAAATCAAAACTCAAGAGAAAACAGGGAGAAGACGTATCTGCAGTTATCAAAACAATGAAAGAGGAAAATGAAAAATTTAGAGAGATGATAAGAAGCTCAGCAATGAAGAGAGATCACGACAGTGAGATGATAAGAGAAAAAATTAAAATCCAAAAGCAAAAAAATGAATTAAGAAAACAACTTGTTGAGACTACCACATGGACAGAGGAAAATAAAATTTTAAGGATGGATTTGAAGTCCATACAAGATTGCCGTCGTCGTGAATATTTTAAAAATGAGCAAGAACGAATTCCGAGAAAAAGAGAAGGATCACAGTCATCACAAGCCAGCAACACTTTTGGTTCTTTCAGTGAGTTTTTTCAAGATCTTGGTGGGTCTGGAAGTGGTTTGGGAGACTACTAGAATTATTCGTGTGTTCCTTTGATTTTTATGTCATCTTTAATCATGTTGTTTTTATTTGTGTGTTAAGTCATCTTTAATCATATTGTTTTTATTTGTGTGTTAAGTCATTTTAATCATGTTGTTTTCATTTATGTTCTATGATTTATGTGTGCTGTAAACTTTAATTTTAATGAAATAAACTTGTTTGAGTATGTTAAATTTTTATTCATATGGTATCATTAATATTAGAAAATTACAAAATAAAATTATAATACATCAATAAATAAAAAGCACAAAATTATTTAGCATAAAAAATATATTACACATATTATTTAGCATAAAATATACATTTACTAATACACATTATACAAAAATTTACCAATAGTAATACACAAAAAAACAAAAAAAAAATAAAAAAAATAATTGTAGAGTCGAGGAACAGTGTTGCGCCACATCTGGCGCAATATTGTTCCCGACTCTCTTCTCGCGCAGAAATCTAGCGTCACGTTGGAGGAGATTTCATATGTACTCCAGCACAAAACGCCAAATGTGGCGCAGCGCTGGAGCCGCTCTTAGGGTTTGATGGATAAAATTATTCAATTTGTTTCTCTATTGCTTAAGAATTAAGCAACGCCATTCAGTTCAATCCCAAATTCAGAAAGCCATTTTTTCGGGTTGCTTTTTTACTAACAAATCTGACAAAATGTGCGCAGAAATTTATTTCATTATGTGACGGTAAATGCAGGGACATCATTTGTAAAAGAGAAGAAATTTAAGGGCATTTTGGTCAGCTAAAAAATGGACACGTGTCAAGCCTAGAACAGCTCACATTTTTTGTTATATGTAAGGGAGAGATACTTGAGTTAAAAATATGAAGAAACAACAAGCCTTGAATTCACTGAAACCTCAACTTACTCGATAATCCAAAAAAAAAAAAAGGTCATAAGTTGAATGCAC